GCCCTTTGCCTGCAGCAACGAGGGGCATAGGGGACAGAGACAGACGACGCAGGAGCTGATGGACGGGTCGGACTGCTCAGATCCACCTCCGTCTCCCTCCCCTCCCCGTCTCCTCTTTTTCAGCTCTTCCCCCTTCTCCCCCCTCTAGCCACGCGTCCGCAGATATAGAAGAGACAATTCAGCGCAATGGAAGGGATGGGAGGGAGTGATAGGATGTAAGATGTGGCGTGAATGCACCTAGCTTGCCCCCAAGCCCCCCTACCCTCCTTCCCCCTCCCCCTGTTCCTTCTTTCCCGCCCATTCGCTCGTCTTCTCCTCTCTTGTCTTCGCCCTCTCCCGCCTCTCTCCTTGCACCCTCCTCCTGTCTACAATTTACCCACGCTGTGCGGTTACTACTTGCCTCCTCGGGGATTGCTTCAAGTGCGCCACTGGTGGGCTTCGATTCTCCCGAGGAGCGCATCTTTCCAAAGCTGGATTTGAAGGTTACCCTGCGAAACCCGAAGCATCGCTTCTTCAAGCTCTCGTGGCACGCTCTTGGGGCGCTCTTTGGGGCCTTGGCGACCGTATTGAATTCTTCTGCGTTTGAAGGATTTTGGGGCATCCATGGGAGGCTCCGTGGCTATTTTGGGCCTTGTTTGTGGTGGTCACGTGGTCCATTTGAAGCATGCTGGAGGCTATCTTGATCCAACTTGGATTCTTTTGTGCGATCTTGCTGGCAATCCTGACCTATCCAGTGAAATCATATGAGGCAATTTTGGACGCTTAGACCCCTCGCGAAGCCCTGGTCTAACGTTAGGGAAGGGGACTTCCCCGACAAAACGGGCGGGTCCGTCCCACTCCGCGAGAGCGACGAGTCCGGCGTGCCTTTGCCACGAAGGCGGCCAAGACAAAAGAAGACCAGACATTGAAGATGCAGGACGAGACCAGAAGCCTGGGCCCGAGCCGCGCGGAGCTTCACTGGTGCTGCCGCTGCGGTCGCGCTTTCCCTTCGCCGCTTCCGCGCCTCGGCGGCGCCCGCTGTTGACCGACGTTCTGCCATGGCGCAGATCCTCCTCGCGAGGCTCTGCGTGGCAGCGGCCGCAGCCTTCGAGCATGAGCTCGGTTGCTTTCGGGAATCTGGTGCGGGGCGACGCATAGGCAGACGAGCGTGTGTAGACGATCTTCGAGGATACGCTGACGAAAGTCGGCAACGTGATCATATCGGACATTCCAGGCTACAGCGACTTCCGCATCAGGCTTTGACCGAGGCTCAACGTTGCACCGCACGACATCATTGTTGACATAGGTACAGACACCACAGACCTAGAGATTATATGCCCACAAGGGCATCAGCAGCGTGCGATTCCTTCCAGGCTTGCGGCCGCGAGTTCTGCGAAATGGTTACACGTGTCTCCAACGCTTTCGGTGCACGCCTGGGTGCGCTCATCTCTTCCATGTGGGGGCTCCCACCGTCGATGCGAGTCACGGATGTGCACGCCTACGACAAGTTGTTCGACGTTTCCCAGTACAGATTGCACCTGAATCATTGTCGCTCCTACCGCACACCGCCGAGCAAAAGAGATGTCCACCCAGTGACCATCGAACCCCACAAGCATTCATTCGTCTGCATCGCCTTCGCTGTTCCCCTGCTTGTTCAACAACCCAAGACCGATGGCCATGATAGCATCACTGCGACGCACAAGCGGGCTAACGATTTTCATATCGAACTCCGCCACAGGCAGAGTGTGACGGTAGGGTTCCCGAGCCACCATATCGTGTTGATGCTTGGCGACGGTGTGGACCAGCATGTCATCGAGAACAAGGACGTGGAAAGTGAGCTATCGTTACGCGCGATGCCCCATGCGATGACAATGCCCGACCAGGTGTTGAGTGAGGCTCGTGTGTGGTGCGGTCGCATGGTTTTCCCGCCGGATGACGCGATCGGCGGTGACCGCGGCGTCACTTCCTGTAGTATCCATGACATCATGTCAGGACGGCGGATCCAGAGGAGGAAGGTGTTTCCGTTTCGAAATTATCTCGCGGATGTTTTGCTGGACAGCAGGCGAGGGAGCTCGCGCAGGGGTGTGAATCACGCCATATGCCCTGCGCGTTTCGATGCATGACGCGCAAAGTTGGAACCACACGGTTCAGTGCGCGAGCCTCCGCGACGAAGTCTTTGATGGTGACGATCATCACGGTCATTGCCCGCGCTGGTCGAACTCCGCGCAGCCGCTGCGTCATGTTTGTGAGCTCGAGCTGATCAAGTCATATTCGGACTACGAGCAGTCGGGGGCGTGCGGCGCGGCTGCCTGTGAAGCCTAGCTCGACTCAAGTTGTCGAGCTCATGCGGAGGCGCGATCTCGAGTCGGGTGCAGGTCGTCTTTATGTTGAACGTCGCAGCGACGTGCAAAGCTGATATCTTCCCCGGCCTCAGCGTCAAGGCTTCCGATCGTTCAGTCGGGAGTGGAAACGTCGGATGCGTGAAAGAGGGAATGATGGGTGCCCCCGTCGTTGTCTGTCATTCGCAGTGATGGCGACGAATATCCCGGTTATTAAGGGCTAGATCAGTATGCCTTCTCACAATACTTGAGCTCTTTCGCAGGGTGGGATACGCCCTGCTCGGAGTCGGCCTTGGGGAATGCAGAGCTGATTTTCGATTTTTGTTACGCTTTGGTGAGGGTCACCAAAGACAGCATATCTGGGGTTCCAGTGAACGTAGCTGCTGGCGCGAATCGGTTGATATGGGCGTTGCGGGCGAGCAGCTATATGCATGCGGGGATATCAGCTTACCATGGGGTCTGCCACGACGGCGCGCGTCTCCGAGCCCGCGGACTCATCCTTGTGGAGATCACGCAGATGAGCCGCCTGCGATCAATTCCAACCGCTTGAACAGCTTCCCTCCCATTGTGTCCATGGTCTTTGCGGTGGCATCTTCTTGCTGCGGATGCGAGACCGTCGGGCGCCACCGCCGGGCAGTTCTTAGTTTAACTGCGGCTTGCCTGCTACAGGTGAGAGGAGCCACGTGCTACTATTCAAGATTCCGCCGACCCCCAGATAAAGGGGGTATTCGGCCCCCATTGCATCTGTTGCGGAGCTTGTTAGTGGCCTTTTGAAGGCCTGGGGGGCGGCCGCGTGGAGACTTTTTTCAGGGCTCCTGTGATGGCTTTGGGGGGGTTTGGGGGGGGGGGGGGGGGGGGAATTGCGGGCGGGCAGGGGATCTTCGAGGCCGTCTTGGGGGGGGGGGGGGGGGGCTCTTGGGTCTTCTGCGATTCCCCCTCTTGGGCTTCTCATGGGCCCTTCATGGGGTGGGGCCCTCAACGGCATTTTATGGTCGTCTTCGTTCTCTCTTGGGGGCCACTTGGACCGTCTTGGGCCTTTCGGGCCGCTTTGGATTTTCAGAGGCCCATAAGTGGCAAGCTCGCGAAACTCATCCAAAGACGCGTAGCGCATCACTTGTTTGGTCATCTTGAGGCCATCTTGGGTTCCTTCTTGGGGTTCTTTTGGGGCGTCCCGTTGGCGTCGTGGGCTGTCTTGGTGTCGTCGAGGATGTTCTTCGGGCCTCATCTGGCGCGTTGGGGCCCTTCTCAAGTCATATCAGACGGCAATTTAGGCAGCCTCTCGGTCGCGGAGGGTGGAGTTGTAGTCTCCGCGGGCCCTGGGGGTGGTTTGACAGGCTCGCCCCCTTCCCTTTCCCTTGGTGGGTGGGTGGGTGGGGTGGGGGGGTTCGGGGTTGGTGCGGGGTGGGGTGGTGTGTGTTGTGTGTGTGTGTGTGTGTGTGTGTGTGTGTGTGTGTGTGTGTGTGTGTGTGTGTGTGAGAGAGAGAGAGAGAGAGAGAGAGAGAGAGAGAGAGGAGGGGGGGGGGGGGGGGGGGGGGGGGCATTCTGATTCATGTTGGGGGGCCGGGGAAAGAGGGGGGAAAGAGGGGGGCGACCAATTGTCTCATGCGCGCTTTCAACCCTTGGCAAGTGCTGGCCGACGGCATTGGCTCTACCGTATATTTGATATGGCGGGAAGTGTTGGAGTGATACCTGTGGGCAACAGGCGGCGAGTGAACGCGCGGGTAATTGAACAATTGGCCGATCTTCTGCAAATCGGCGCACGTGGTGTTGTTGCGAAGTCTGTCATCTGTGGGTTCCAGACTAGACCGCTAGGTGATTGTATTCTACTGGCCAGATTAGCGAAGACCGCAGATAGGAAAGGACTGACTGCGGCCTTTTCGTCCGTGGAGTGCCGTCCATCATTGACTTGCGCATGGCGGCTTCGTGTTGAGTTGGCCCGTAGTGGCTGACCTGTGCTTGCACTGCATCAACGCATGAGTTAATGCCATGTTTGCCATTCCATGTCTGTCCCCCCGCCGCGTCATTCTCTAGCAAGTGCTCTTGACCACGTGCTTCTTCACGGCGGGGTCGTGATCGTGGACTATCCTCCGCGCTTGGCTTCCAGCTGCATCTATCTCGTGGAATGCAAGCAGGACGTATTACTATTTCTGTGCCGCTTGGTTCTCCTGGAGCCGACGCCCGTGCAGGTTGCTTCCGACCGTTCTGTCGAGTTGGGTTGTCGTTTTGAAGAGACGGCGCCCCGCGTCTCCTTCCTCTCTTCCTTCCTTCCTTCCTTCCTCCTCCTCGTCCTCCTCGTCGTCGTCGTCCTCCTCCTCCTCCTCCCTCTCCCTCCTCCCTCTCCCTCCTCCCATTCTTGCCTTTGCTCTCGGCATGTCGCTGTTTCGGTGCACCCCTCGCGCGTTTCGTGGGCGCATCGGGGACTCCGCCGAAGGGCCCAGGGGCAGCGCCCGCGTGCAGTTCCACGTCCATTTCGGTGCACGCATCACGCGTCGCGTGGCCCCACGGGGAACTCCACCGACGGCCCGCTGACAGAACCTGTGTGCGGTCCCACCCCAATTTTGGCGCACCCCTCACGCGGCTCGTGGTCCAACAGGGGGCTCCTCCACCGGGGGCCCCAGTGGCAGCGCCCGTGTACAGTTCCACCCTCCATGTCGGCACAGCCTTCGCACGTTTTGTGGTTCC